TATTGGTTAATAGAATATTACCAAAACAATTCTAATGTAACATACTTTTTATACTTTTTATACCTTTTATACCTTTTGTACTTTTCATACCTTTTGTACCTTTCATACCTTTTATATCTTTTATACTTTTTATACCTTTTGTACCTTTTATACCTTTTATACGTTTAGTACTTTTTATACCTTTTGTATGTATTGTAAAAGCTATATAAACTCTAGCTTTTACCTTTCTTGTACTAGAGGATTTGTTCTCTGCAATGTTCTAAATATTAGGATTCTATAGAAATAGATACCTATAGATAGCTTTGTATCTAGGCATTGTATCATAAATAAATAAACATATCTTTGCCTTAAAGTAAACCATGTCTCTATGCTTCTAATTAATATACCGAACTGCCCTAGTGAGGAAACATTCCACTTCCACACCGCTTCATATCTCACCCTGTTATCTTAGAGATCCCTGCTGCTATGTGCTATGTTGCAGGTAGTAAATTAAGAAGGCTACCCCACTTGTAACAATAGTATCATTTTTTGCTCTTTGTGTTTTGAAGCTTATTATAAACAGCTAAGGCCAGACTAGATTATATCTTTAAATGTGCCATGTCACATGTGAGGTATTTTGGCTATTATTAGTGCAATAACTATATTTAGGCATTTTGAAATAGAGAAAGCCAGGTATAGTCTATATGTTTTATTAACACTTTAAAGTTTTATTAAGGCATAAGTTTAATAAAGAATAGTACGTGGTTATCAAAGTTTAAAAAAAACAATAATAATAACAACTATTAATAATTTTAAATAATTTAATTACAGTATTTAATATTGGTAAAAAAATTAATCAAATTTTTTAAATAAATAAAATAATTTTTGCGTGTCTCTGCCTGTTGATTGTTTAATAATTATCTATCTGTTTTGACAAAAATAATATCACATGTTATGTTAACTACCTTATAATAATCCATGTTTTTTCAAAAAATGAGAAAGTTATCCATGCTCACATTCATTATAACTCTAAGCAGTTTTTCAAACCTAATATATTTTCTAAGTTCTCTTTCCTAAACCCTTCTGAAGATTCATTTGTTAGCAGAGGTCCAACACTTATTTCGATCCAATTTTCCCAAATGTTTTCAACTTGCGCAACAAAATTATCTCCAATGCCTATGCAAAATATAGCATCATACCCTCCAGCTATTATTGCATATTAAAAAAATAATTCAAATATAAATAAGCTTTTAACGTTAATGATGATAATTAAATATTACTAATATTTACCACCAGGAACTCCAGCCATAACTACACCAGGTACCTTTGTACATGCATCGAGCAATCTTGTTTGCTCAGGTGGCTCAATTGGTGCATCAGACATATTTGACATGTCACGTAGCGATTGGCGAACTTTCTAAAAAAAAAAGGACAATTTAAATTTTATTAATATAATAAACAAAATAAATATTCGATATAAATAGGGATGGGTTCGGCTACAAACTACTACGATCGACTATAAGCAGATTGCTAAATTTTTTTATAAGTCATTAAATTATTCAGAAGTCATATTGGCCGATTTGTTTTGACCCAAAATCGCCATGATCGAGGGTTATCAAAAAATTTACACGAAAATTTATTAAAGAGCAAATTTCACAAAAACGGCCTATTTAATTATAAGCCAAAAGTAGGTTAAAAAGCCCATTTTTTGAAAATTAGCTTACCAACCCATCAAACAATGCCCAACCCATCCTAAAACACCCGACAAACGGTAAAAGTACAGTATTTCTTTCTACAGCTTAGCATAGCTTTTTTTATTGTTTTTTTTAACTTGTCTTTTGTTAGTCGTAACAAGTGCTTCGTTTGTTAGTCACTTAGAGGCAAATTTTCGTGTAACAGTTTATCGAAATTCAAAACACCTCTAAAATTCAAAATCTTAAAAATTCATCGGTCACGCGGTCAGTCAAGTCGTTCCATAACCGATGATGAATTTCAAGATTTTGAATTTTATAGAAGGTATTTTGAATTTATCTTATAAGTAACTATGGCTAAAATTTACCTCTGACAACTTTAATGGCTTATAAAAAAAAAATCATTTCAAAATTTAGCAATTTGCATATAGTGATTGTAGCCGTTTGTAGCCGAACCCATCCCTAGATATAAATAAACATTTAAATGTTACTTGAAATTCGGTAAAAGTAGAATGAAGTAAATCGAAAATTCGTTTTCCCGGTCGTTCTTGATTAAGAAGGGTTGACCACTAAACCAGAAAATTTCAAAGTTTAATTTTATTTAACTAAATATATCTATTTAAAGTTTTATATTACCCCAAATCCTTTAATACAAGAACAAGTTCTAATTGCGTCATAATATCCTGTCTTATCCTTTTCATATTCTCTAGTTAACTCGATGAGATTATCAATGACAGTTGCGCAACTAGAAGCAATCGCATTCCACAATATATTCGCTAATTGATTACAAATTTATCAGTTATGTAGCAAAAAAAAATAGTAGATTTGAAAAATATAATATCACATCTTACCTTGTTCAGGGGTTGCCTTACGCCATGCTAACACTTTGCCCACCATACTTGGTGTATTAGATCCAGAATCTACCTCAGCAAGAATCATTTTAAATTCTGGAGGAAGGGTGAATGGTTTTATTTGGTTATCCCATCTACAATCACAAAAAAAATAAGACCGCGTATGGTAATGGTTTTTAAATGCCGTATAGGCGCGAAATAACGCCCGTGGGCATTATTTTGAAATTGAGTCCTTCGAAAATAGAATATGTGGTCCCAAATTAACGCGCATCCCCCTTATTCTTTATATAAAAAATAAACAAAGAATGCTCCGGATCTAGGTTTATTATTACTTCCAGGCTTTAATAAAAGCTGTTTACTTAGTACTAACTTAATTCCGGAGCAATTTTTAATCTTGTCATAAGTAAGGGATGCGATAACATATGTTGGAAATCAATCCTAATTTCGAAGTAATGCACATGAATGTATCGAAATAACGCGCAGGTCAATTAATTAACGCGCAGATTCTTAATTAACGCGCAGATGGGCGTTATTTCGCATTGAAAACACAGTATATACTTATAATCCGGATCAATGATTTTGCTGAGCACTGCTATATCAATATTATTCTTATAAAATTTTAGTAATTTACTTCATTAAAATCAATTTCTATTTATTCATTTTGCATACTTCGCTTTTAATTACTGAATCCAATATCGCTGGCGAAAATCTCCTGTACACGTGACTTCCCCAAACGGCGGCAGAAATATCAAACCCAGACCCAACCTTGCCTTGAGCAAGACAATGACAAAATTGTGATGCATTATGGATCAATGTTCTTTCCTTGATATCATCATTAACATTTTTAACGCATTTGAAATAAACAAACAAAGCTGCAACTAAGGAAGTTGTCATTGCTGCCGATGAACCAAGGCCCGTTTTGTGAACTTTTTTTAGAGTGGTATGGACTTTGCAGAATGGTGTTAGAGTGCGTAATGATACGGTGTTAAGTGGCAAATTCGATTTTTTTAGCTTTAATTTTTTTTAAAAAAAAAGAATTATTTATAAATTACTGAATAATAATAATAATAGATTTTAAATCTTTTTTTTTTACTTGTTCACGTTGCGAATAAAAGTCATTGCTGCCAATAACATAAATATTAAGCCCTTTAAAAACTAATTCATCGAATTTTTGGCTGGAAATACGGTTTGCAATAATTGATAAACTATATTTTAGGACAGTCTCAATAAAAGTATTACAACTATCCTTTTCACTGTGTATTTTTTAAAAAATCAATTAAATTAACTGGAAAATGAAATAATTTATTAAATGTAAAGTAAATTACAATGCCGAGAGTTCACATAGCCCATCCTTTATTGTAATTTTATACTCCCAGTTTGGGTCGTCAAACTGTGGAGCGTGGACAATAATTTTTGATGAATTATCACCAGGTTGAATTACAGTGTAGAAGCGAGAACTTGTTCCAATTACAAGTCCCTCATATTCTCTATCAAGTATCAGATATCCACCCGTTAGAAGTACTTTGCCGGGAGCAGAGACAACTGTCAAAGACATAGGGATAAAGATTTTTGTCGAAATTGGTGAAATTGGTTTTTAAATATTAAAATTTAATCAAAATTAATTAAACTAAACTAAATCAAATACAGTAGTTGTTTTATATTTAATTTATAAAATATTAAAAATGTTGAAATTATTGTTATTCACCATCTATAGGTAGAATACTTATATAGTGTTCGTTTTTAGTGATTAAAAAAAAATGATTGACAATTTATTGGGGTGTTGCCGGCCAAAATTAAGTAATGCAGACCGATCCGTGACAAAAAGCTCCTATATTATCGATATAATAATTCTCATCGTTAGCCAATTTTAGTAATAAATATTGTTTGAATAAGTTACACATGGCCGTAAATTAAAAAAAAAAAAATTTATATAAAAGCAAAAATGATATTTATTAGATATTTAATGAGATAACAGATAAAAAAATTTAGCAAAACAAAGGTTAACTGTATTGATAAATGGTTTATACATATATTGTTAACATAAAACGATTTTATATTATCAGTTTTATTATCTAATAGTAAGCACAAGTTTTTAATGGCAATTCGGCATTTAACAAAGCAACAATCGTTTTTATACACGTACAAATATACGGATTTTACTTGTCTATAATTTTTTTTTCATTTTATATAATCATTAAGAATTTGATATCAACAAATTTTTTTTTGATTATAAGTATTTCAACACAGATTGTTTTCTATATACTATTGTATTATAATAAAAAAAAAATAATCCAATATTGTAAAATAATTATGAATCGGTAAATAGTTATTCTCACTTTCAATACATTAACATACAAAATGAAAAGTCTTACCAATGGTGTGGGTTTTATATTAGTTGATCTATTATTATACATCATTAGAACTAACTGTAGCGTTAGGATTAGTTCCATATGATCCATGTTTTGCTTTTTTTTGTTGGCGAGCTCGAAAGAGATCGTAATCGGGCGGTCGGTTAATTCCAGGACCTCCTATATAAATAAATAAAAAATGCATATAACATCCATCCCGAATAAACCATGATAGGAATCTATAAGCACAGATATTACCTCTGCCCTGAAAATCTTCAGTTTCAGCATCAAATTCTCTCCTCCTACGTTTGAATTGTAATCCACGTGATAGGGGATTTGGACCCTGTTTCGATTGATAAATACAAAAATTTAATAATTATATATTGAAAAAGACTGACGAGAATTTAGTACTAAAAATTTACTCACCCTCATCTGTTTTCCAAAAAATTCACCCTGGCGTGCTCGGCCTCGACCATTTTCTAAAGGCCTGTCAAAACCTCTGGGTCCATCATATCTTCCGTCATTGCCATAGCCCCTACCATCACCACGAGCTGGGCTACCTCCTCTTGATCTGTCTCGAGGTTGTGATTGAAGTGAATGTTGTGCCAATGGTGCATTTAATAAGCCACTGCCACTTATAGTGGTATTCGACTGTGTCGGTATGGAATTGCGAATTATATCCATTAAATCAATTGGATTTATAATTGGTCCTGTGGCCATATTAATTTTATGGTAAGGATAACAATTATATTGTATTAGATAATAAATTAACAAAGCAATAATGCATAGAACAAAATTGGAAATACGGTGCATACCATTGTAACTTGATGCAGAAGGTAATATTGACAGGAATTTAGCAATAGCTTCTGGAAGCATCACCCCATTTACGCAAGTCCAATTTAGAGATACAGGCTGTGCTGTAATTGGTGCAGGAGGAGAATGTCCACGAGAACCAAGTGGTTGTGGAGTAACTCCTAATGGTTGGGTACCTAAAGGAGGTGATGGACCAAGAGGTTGTATTGAACCTCCCGCCTGGGTAGGTGCTGGTTGGCCTGAAGAAACGGGTGGTGGAAAAAATGGACGTCTTAATTGTTCCGCTGTAGGTTTATATAAGACCCATTGCCGAAAATCTGGTCTGGGATATTTTTCTGGATGAACAGAATCCAATAATGCTCTTCGTGTAGGTATCACTTCGTGCTCCTCTTCATTTTGAACTTCTGATGGCAGACTGTCAATAGTTTCAGGATCGGCTAAAGAAAGAACAAAGTGTGATAAATAAACTGTAATTCAAAGATAGAAATAATGATAAATGTTGCTTACGTTTTGGACCGACTTCTCTTTGAAATATGATATTTGTATCTAAAAAGCTATAGCGTTCTGCAAATCTTGACAAAAACGATTCTTAACAATACAATATAATTGTTAATTTTAAAAATAACGGAGCAAACGCAAACAAATCATAAAATAACCTTACCCTCAGGATATACTTTTGCTCGACGTTCGTCTATTTTTCGAATTACCGATAGATCTCCGTAATTATTTTCGTACTTAGAGAATTGTTCCCATACAATTTTAGCCTTGTCAGCTGGCATTGACATCAAAGTTCGTTCGAAAAGAGCTCTTGTGTCTTTTTAAACAGAGTGAATATTAAGTTATTGTTGGTATCATTCAGCAATTTCAACAACAGTATAACAATAGCATAACAACGAAGACTTACTGTTGTCATCGTTTAACTGGATAAGGAAATCCAAATATTGACTAACATACTCTGGACTATATATAAAATTCTTCAGACCTAGCTCAAAAATTTTTCCAGCAATCGCTTGATCTTTACTACAGTGGTATTCCATCAAAGCTGTATGAAATGGAAATATTAAATTTCAATTTTAAGAACGAGTTATGCGCAGACGCTTAATCTTACCTGACGCTACAAACACATGATAAGTGCAGTAGTTCGACTTTCTGGCTTTGCTAAATATAAGACGCGCGGATTTAATCCCCTTCAAAAGATTAAATGCCCAGTTAAACTCAGTTTTTCAACAATGAAATTTTTTTTTTAGAAAGCAAAGCCTATACCTCAATACGTCTCGTGAATCTCATCAGCATAATCCAAACGAGCGAATAGGCACGTGATAATTCATCTATTTCGTGCCGCCTGCTTTCTTCAATTTTTGTTCGTTCTCTCTCTAACTCCTTCTCTTTAATCCTTAATTGCTCACGAGTTTCACCATCTAGGTCTAACGTATTTTCATCTTCGCTAACACTATCAGCAGAAGAAGTCTTCATCAAAGCATTAATTTCATCTGCGGTAGATTTTTCGCTTTCTTCAATCTGGGTTTGGACGTTTGATAGTAATGACTCGTATGCTTTACGAGTCTCGGCGAATTGCTTTCGATGTTCTTGTAATTCAGCATAAGCAAAATGAACTAGAAAACTATATGTAAAGGATAGTTATTATTATTATTATTATTATTATTATCAATTTATATAGATGCATTTGTTTAAAATACAGTAACAATCTACCTGGTAGGTATAACTTCCATTGCCGTTTTTAACAAAGAGACCGCATCATCATCCTTTTTTATCGTTACCCAATAATTGGCAGCTTCAAACCTAGATAATCGTTAAAATATTGATTCCGCATAAATGATATTTATAAAATAAAGTTCAAAGATTCACAAAATTACCAGATTTCCGGGTAATAGCGCAGGTACATCATGGCTTGCTTATATGCGTAAATAATTCTCTGCGAAAGAGCAGATTGATCCTCAAGAGAGAGTGGGTTTAACATCTCCCATTCAATCCACTCTTTCCAATATGATAACTATTTGATGACAAGAAAATATAATGTTAAAATTGCAATAATATGTGCACCACAAAATAACAATCAAAAAAGTAATCACCTGTTCTTTCTCACTCTTCACCCACTTTGGTGGTGTAGGGATTATGTTCTTGTTTATTTTATCTGTAAATCGGCGCATCTCTTTTACAGCAGTGCGTGCAGTCATATATGATGGTGAACGATCTTGCAAAAATTTTTTAGCCTGATATCGGACAGAATTAGTTAATACTAACGACGATAAAGGTGAGTTATTCGGACATAATAACTCACCGTTACTTTATTCAATGCATTCTCAAATTGATCATATTCTTTCCAAATATGCTCAACATTATTTAGAGGAATGCATATTGCCCTTTGATATGTTTTTCTCATAATATCCATTTTTTGTTGTTCTTCCCAGGCACTATGCGTTTCCCCAGTTTTTAAGAAAAACAAATAATCACTCCATAGAGTACCAGCATCTTTATCTAAACCAATGTGATTTAGAACATATTCATAAGCTTTTGCAATAGTTGCTCTTGCCTGAGAGCTTGTTGTTGATCCTTTTTCAATTGGATTCATGCGTCGTACATAATTAAGATAAAATTTCCATAAATCAACGGAAAGAACAGAGCGAAGACAACGGGCAAATATAGCTTCCACTTTGTCGAAATTTTCATGTTTGAGTTCGTATTCAGCGTATTGTACCCATTGACGTGACTATATTAGTTGATCAGCAACAATTTTCAAATAAAAAAAAAAATAAAAAATAAAATAAAAAAAAAGGATCCGAACATTATATCAATCAATATACTGATCTAAATGAGTAGGTTTTTAAATTTATTTGAGGAAAAGGACTTTGACATAATTTTTCAACTTGGAAATTAATATTACAAACTGAAAAATATTCATCCAAATTTCCCTCACATTTAGTAACAATTATTGAATACATAATTATACATTTTGATAAAAAATATAAGCATATTACAGAATTTATTCTGATAATAACATGATTCTCTTATAGATCTAAGTAAGAAAAAATTTTGCAATTTTTTTGGGCTGATAATAATTTAGACCCACTTACCGATGTAGGAAATTTTTGCAGAAACCTTTCGAAAACTTCTCTAACCTTATCAATATCTGCCCTAGCCTGTACTTCAGTAAGGAGGCCTAACCATGCTTCTGTATCATAAACATTTTTTGAAATACGATTTTCGTACTTTTCAAACTGCATGCTCTTCAAAGGTTTCTTTTGCTGCAAAGCACTTGGCGGAATTTGCCATGAGGCGGGTTCCGCTGCCGGAGGGGGGTCTTTTGAGATTGTTTTTTGCGTTGGGGGTGCTGCTGCTAAGGAATTATAAGAATTATTATTTGAAACATTTGATTGGTAATCAATCAAATCAACCACATTTGAACTACTAGAAAAGTTATTCGTTTGGTTGTTATCAAGATTTTGGCTTGGTCTATCTAAATCACCAGATAACGGAATATTTGCGGTGGGATTAACTTCAATAGTATCAATAGGAATATTTATTTCAGGTAAAAGACCACTATTATTATTTTGTTCCACTTCCTTCCCATTAGGTGAAGAAACTGTTTGTTCAGTAAAATTGTTAAAGTGCACGGGGCTGTTAAAATCCCCTTCTTTTTTCATTTCAATGTCAGAAACATCCATTTGCATGGTAGACATTCACAGAAAAAGATTGTTTATTACTATTATTACAAAAAATCACAACTGTGAAAATAGACACAATAAGAAATATATAAACTTTTTTTTTTTTTTTTTTCTTGCAAAGACAAATTCTAGACGCTCTAGTATTCAAGTTAGTAACGAAAAAGATTTTTTTTTTAAAAAAAATTTTATGAATGAATAGTTTTTTTTTATATTGTTATTTGTTATCACATGATTCAATCGTTCCGACTGGTCATACTGTAAATAAATTTTCCATAATGAAAAAATCCCGAAATTTATCACATGCCTGGACGTTGTCCCGGGAATGAGGTTCTCTAGAACGAGATATATTTAAAGTTATAAGCCAGCTAAGGCTCATGGGAGAATGGCAACTGCTGTTTTTAAAGTATATATATATATATTATAAAGTTTTAAAAAAGCAGAATCTCGAAAAGACCCCAAACCCGAAATACTTAACCTTAGAATCTATTTAATAGATAGAAACATTTTTGTCAAAACTGTATTATTTTGGATTTAAACTACAGGAGGAAGGACTTTAATTCTTGAACACTCGGCTTTACTAGTTAAACTTTGATCGCCAATATCTCGTGATATACGTAGTAATTGTATTTCAACGATTTAAATCAAATCATTGGAATACAATTACTAGATCACGAGATATTGGCGATCAAAGTTTAACCAGTACTAGTAAAGTCAAGTGTTCAAGAATTAAAGTCCCCTCATTTAGATAAGTAAGTATGTTCGGTAAGGTGTTTGTTTTAGATGGGAGTCTGCATGGCGAGTTTTTTTTATTTTATCCTGATAAATTTTTTGAATTTACTAGTTTATATAGTTTATAAATTCTTTTGCATGAATTACTAGTTTATAAATTTTATTGTTATTGTACTGTATATACTGTAGAATTTAAAAACTTTTTAATTTTATTACGTGGCGAAAACTTTCGCAAACCGTTAGTCTAATGTACGTACTGTATATAGTTAGCTTACTTAGTCGATAAAGACTCTGTGGCTTATAATACTGTGCATATTAGTCTGCAATTAAAGCGGAGATAAATCACGTGACATTATATCAAGACAGTATATATATAATGAAAGACAATTTTATTATATAAAAACACTTTAATTCCAATCTAACCCTAACCTAAAGTGACCCTAACCCTAAAGTTAACGAAGATATTAAACTATAAAAATTATCTTCGTTTAGACAATAAATTACCGGATTTTGTGTGGCATAATAAAGTGTAGATTATACGATTACTAATGCGTCTCAATTAGTAATCAATTGTTGCCTATATATATTGTAGAAGTATATATATACAAGCTGCTATAAATTATTAATTATGTATAACAAAAGGTTAATATATATATAAACAAAAAAAAAACAAATATTGTAATTGGTATTTCTTTTTTAGATTTTTTAAATTTTATATAGTATGTTTTTTATAAAAAATTTTTACTTTGAATACAAGTTTTAATTTTTACAAATAAATTACTAAAATTGCAATAATATATAAAGTTAGTACTGTATACATTATACTATATATATACTATAGACAATATACTTTTTTTTTTTTTTAATATTGATAACTTTGCCAAAATTTTTATTAAAAACTTTATTAATACTGTGTATATATAATAACAATAATATACTGTAAGAGTTGGGATCCTGCAGCCTAGTGGTCTAAGCATCCAACTCTTCGTAAGTGGGTTTTGGGTTCAAGTTCTAGTAGGTATGTTTATCTATGAATATTTGAATATACTTACCATTGTTACAGAGTAAAGCCTTCTTAATTTACTCTATAATGACGACACGGCACAGGGAATCCTTTCGTAGGTATATGCGG